CTGCATAGTTGCTTCTCTCAAATATTCTCATTCCCCTCTTCTCTGGCTGCAATTCCTTCTGCGTAATAACTTTTTCCTTCTTAAATATGTTATCACACTATCTTAAATATGTTACTACTGTCACTGATGGGCTTGGCCTTGGCCAGGGGCAGGTCTGTCTTGAAGCCAGCTGGCATTGGCTCTGTCAGACATGGGGGAAGCTTCTAGCAGCTTCTCAGAGGAGCCACCCCTATAACCTCCTCAGTATCTGAAGCTTGGCACACAAACTCGATACAGAGATACAAAAAGCTGGATGTTTAGGAAGCTCATGAAACTCAAGTATTCATTGCAATTTTGAGAATGAACATGAATCGTGATAGCCCCTCTTCCTGAAATACTGGTGACGTTTTTCAGGAAAAACTGTTCAAGTTGCATTTATACTGCACTGTAATGTAAATATATGTTCCTCTTGATTGCTGAACTTTGGCACCGGTGCTACTGTGTAATATTAGTGAAGTCCATTTCATATCAGATTGCCTCTACTGCATTGAAGATCAGGCCCTGCATTCTGAAAAATATCACTTTGTTTTACCCAACAGATTGTAGTTTAGAAACACCTGGGTAACTTTAATGACTGCTGTTTTTAGGTTAAGCAGCCCAAATCTGTGTTTGATTTGGAAAAGATAGTTCGGGATTAACATGCTGTTTCTGCAAATCCATAACCAGAGCAGCTTTGTACTAAATAGCAGATTAGGAAGAAAGCCATAGCATGTACAGCATGACCCAAAACAGATGCACCTGCAAGGTAAAGGACTGGTTCTTTCTTTCCTTTCTTTTCTTCCTTTTCTTCCTTCCTTCCTTCCTTCCCCCCTCTCCTTCCCTCTCCTCCCCTTCCCTTCCCTCCCCTCCCCTCCCCTGAGTAAAAATTTGCATGACCATTTATTTTGGAATGAGATTACTTAAAAGGAGAATAGGAAAGGATTCAGGTCACCAAACACAGATGTTTTTTGAGACACTCTAGGCTGCTCAAGATGTCTGGGCTGGCTGATCTAACACAGGGAATCCATTCCCACTGGACACAGGCAAGGATGTCCTGTTCTGTCCAAACTGGCACAAGAACACTCAAAGCTCCTTCAGAGTATTTCTACCTGGAACTGTTCCAGGACAGCTACTCTGCATTAAGACAGCCCACAAGACTATACCTTATTCTGGAATAATTTTTATGTAAGCTATCATCCTAAATTGCCTGCCACAGAGAGCTTGGTTAACAACCTAATCAAAGTTTGCCTGAAGATGTTATTTAGAGTCATTAACAATAGAAAGGAGAGGTTAATGGGCACCTATGCAGGGTCCTGCATGAAAACTTTGGCAACACTTTTTGGGAACAAAACTTGGAACTTTCTATGTGAAAATTTCATTCATTTAACTAAGAATGGGATTTAAAATCAGTATGAAATAGGTAATACCATCTCTTTTAAATCAATACAAACTGCCTGTAGCCCAACATTAATGTGTCTACTTAGAGTTTGTACTAAATTAATGAAACTGGTTTTAAATTGATTTAAGTCAAAAGAGTGCTAGCACTGAGTACAAACAGAATTTTTACTGAAAGACGATTTATTTGATATGTATAATGCAGTCAATGATGATGGATATGACAGAGAAGGAAATCAGGATGTTGGCATAGTGAAAAAACCTGAATGTCTATGCTCAGGCAGTATTGCACAATATTCAGATACATAAACAATGGCACAAATATTTAGATTGTAGCCAGTTCCCTACATAATATAAGGTCCCAACACATAAATATGCATTTCTGTATACATAGGTAGATGGCATAAATATGGCAAAAGGGTGGAAGTTTAAAGTGGATGCACGGGGAAATGGTCTAAACCAGAATAAATGGCTCATGTCCTTAATGGCAAAGAAGCAAGAATACCACTTGGAATACTACTGTGGAAACAAATACAAGCAAATAGAGCAGAATTGATCTTGCTACCCTATAATTTTTTCCTCTTAGCTTCTTAAAGGTCTTCACCTGTTAACATTCTGGAGGGGAAAAATAATGCAAAGAGCTTTTTCTGGTATTGTTTGAGATTGCCTTTTTTTTAGACAAGAACTGTTTTACTATTCAGAGTTCCTCAAAAAAAAAAGATGTTCACAGCACAAATTAAAAACTGGTCATGAAAAATATAAATGCTCTTTCAACTGGAGAAGGAAATCACTTCATAATTTACACTATCTCTACTTGAAAAGAAAACAACTTAACTACTCATAAGTTATTGGTTTTCCTCTCTTCTTGTCTGTGTTTCTCTCTATTTAGTGCATGTTCTTCACATTCCCTTGTCAATGCCCTTAGATATAAGGGATATATTTGAGAGTCAGTGCACAAAGAACTTTAATTTTAATACACAGCAAATTAGAGGCACTGCACACACATGTATATGTGGCATACCAGAATATTAGCCTCTAATGTGGACTCATCCTCCTTGAATAGTCTTTCGTCCACATCCCAAGACTGTTTTCTAACATTTGCAAACCAATTAATTTATCTCTTTGAGGGACTGCTTTGCTGAATTTACCTGTGACAATATATGTAAAAGAGGATAGGTTAAAATGAAATCTGAAGTGCTGTTATTGTTGACAGAAATCTGAGAGATATGAACTGCATACAGTATATGCAGAAATGTGGTTGCCCTATAAATTTTTCTGTGTCTCTAAACAAAGACAAAAATAGGTATAACTAGCCTGGTGTTGTTTAGTTACATAACAGATTGAGGGTTTTGGTTTTAGTCACTGAAAATGTGATAAACAACATTGTGCATTAATGCAGAAAACAGATTGAGCTTTTTAATGGTACATCAAATAAGACTTTATTAGCATCTATTAGGTTCAACCCAAAGCCTGGGAAATAGCATTAATGAGCATCATATATCAGTCTGTCTGTTATTAGATAACATTATCCCTTAAAACTAGCAAGTCATATAGTACTTCATACTTTTTACCTTTATCTTTAGAATAAGCTGCTGACATCCTCTCCTGTTACACTGGCCTTACTATTAGTAATAGTGAACCAATTTATAAACCCATTAGTGACACTTTTTCCCAAAGATAAAAACAGTCAAAATTATCTGGCAGCAATTAATCTTAATGGCTGTATGCAGTAAACAGCAATGGGCTAATTCCAGCTCTGTCAGCCCCATCAAACAATCCCACATTAGGCAGCTTTTCACTGATCCATTAAGCATATTCAGAACAACAACAAATTCAATGCTGAAGGCATATGCACTAAACATTACAACAGTGATCTTCTGAAGCCATCATTATCTCTTAAATAGTACTTCCCCCATGTATTATCATTATGCTGTACATTAGAAATACTTTGATTAAACTCCCTTAATTCATAACAGCCAGCTGCAGACCATTTATGCAGTTAATCTCAACACAACAGCTATTGAGGAAATATAACAAATGAAGGCTGTAAACTGGAAGTCATTACTATGAAAGATACTGGTTTCCTAGCCCTCGTAGTGCAAAGTGCATGGCAAGATTGTACTTTAGAATGACAGTGATGCAGACTGAAACAACTAATGGCTTTCCACATGTCCTGCAATATATGCAGCAGGAATTGCAGCTGTAAAGGCGTGTGCAGGAGCGACCTGACAAACTGTCAGCATGAGTGGCAAAAACATCCAGGAGCCCCTTGTTCACAGGACTAAAATATCATATGAGAGCTAGAATGCAAACTGCAGCCTCTCTATTGCTTTGCTGGCTTCATCTGGAGCACACTGTAATTTGTCTCTATGAAAGAACAGTTCTGATTTCCTTCTCTATGAAGCTCGAGTTAGTGGCAATGACACTTTGAAAGACTGTAGACCTTTAGTTTCCTTTCCTACAAGTAATAGCTGTTTTGAGAATTTTTATTAGACTGTTTTCTCTTTAAGATATAATGGATATGGTGTGGCAAGAAAATTTGCATAAAGCTTTCCATAGTGATGTAAACAAAACAATATTATCAGGAGGGGAAGGAAAACAGTAGCTAATTTATATTTCCACTCTGACCTGAAATTCACATGAGGTATTCTTATTTAATAACACGAAAATGTTAAATAGATAAAAGTTGATGGTATTTTCTTAAGTTTTCATCAGATGTATTCCATTAAAAACATGCATTAAAAACTCACTCAGAAAGGTTCATGCTGCATATTAAGGAAAAACAGGAGCTAAGTTGATGTTGACTATCTAGATTGCACCTTTTCCTAATTCAACCAAAAAATACTCCAAGAATTCTGTGGACTTGGGTACAAAAAAACACTTTCACAAATTCTTTACTTGTCAAGTGTAAAGAAACCATAAAAATATTAGTGAATAGGGTCTATGTGTTTTACAGTTCTTCACTATATATAAATAGTTTATTTGATTTTAAAGAAATAAACCACAGGCACAGTGTCTACCTTGCAATGAAATGATTAAATAAATAAAACTTCAATTTGGCACAAGTCTAGCTGCCAGTTCTGATCTTAGTTCCAGTTCGTAAGTCCAACTCAGCTGAAGGTGGATGCAAAACCTTCACAGCACCCTCAGGACCAGCACTGAGGAGCAGGCAATGGAATGCAACAGGTAATAACACCCTTTAGAGGGCCAGAAGAATCAGCTTCCTGATATTTGGATAAAACTGAGGTGAAAAGTCTCACTACAAGTCCAGTTTTATACTTCTATTACTTTCTAAAGGTCATGAACTTCTGGAACATGTAAGGCTGTAGCTCTCCACCCATTTATGAGGGGAGGCAGACCTGCATACCATGGTAGATGTGTACTGCCCAAGCACCAAGCATACTTAAAGAGTGAATTTTGCAAATTCCATCTCAAACAGAAACCTTTTACGTACTATCATAGTAATTTCCCTTTCAGAGGGATAAGAATGAACTTGTGCTTCAGATACAGATTTCAAACACTGGTACTCTTCTTACCTCTACAGTACCTTGCCATAGAATCTTAGGTAAGCTTGATTTCCCTTCTTTATAATGTTGATAAGGTGACTTCTCCATGTGGCAGAGCTGTTGCCAAGACTAACTGGTGATGGGTACAGTTATTCCAAGGTCTTTGATGAGAAAACTGAACAGAAAAAAAAAATTGCTACATCATTTGCAATAATACATTCTGATTCTTGGCTTTCAAGGCTGGCTCCCACGGTAAAATTTATGTAGGACTTTTAAGCATCAAGAAGCCTGTCTATAACATAGATCTACTCTGGGTCCTTGCAAAACTGGCACTGGCTCCCAGCACTGGTTTGACCAGCTTCAGAGATTATGGAAATTAGCAGAAGTGGACCTCAAGAAGGCAGGTGCCGAGCATGCAGAAACTGCATCCTACACTGCCACTACCACAGTAAGCAATCTGTTTTTTAGTAAGTAAAAGTAGATAGATCAGTTTCAGGAAATATTTTTCTCCATGTCAGCCCCATTCATGCTGTTCTAGAGCAAACTGAATGCCAATCTTTTGAAGTAGATGAAATTTATCTTGAACCTGTTTCATGTGATCTGGAGGTAACCTACAACAAGAAAAGCACCTGAAAGCCAAAGATGGGTTCTTAACCCAGCAGAAAGAGAAAACTGAGTAATTAATTGTATTGTTTTTCTTTTACACAGAAACATTTCTAGATATAAGAGCTTTAGACAACAAGGAATATTAGACTCTACTGAAAATCAAGACATCAGCAGAGTCTGGGCATTATCCTCTGACAGGGGATTTCTAAGACTGAACATTTTCACTTATGTGCCTAAACACAGTTGAAGTTTCCTACTGAACAGTATTCTTAATGTCTGAGATGTAACTTATATGTTTCTCACGCATGACCTACTAATATGGGAAGAAGTAACTTTTCACAAAACATAAAGAGGGACTGACTCACCATCCTCTCTGGCAGGCAGAAAGATTGGTGATATGATGTGACAATTATAAGTTATAAAGTGTACCTGAATCATTATATGCAACCATCTTTGTCCAGTTTCACGGTTTGCTTCTTCTCCCAGCAGTACTTTTTTCCCTAAAAAAAGTGAAAAATGCCATAAGTAACATATTTTTAATAATTTATTCATTTTTCAAGACCTAATATGCTTGGATTTGAGCTAATCCAAGTAGGTAAGTGCTAACCTTCAGAACAAAGCAGAAGATTGTTCTACCTTTCTCTCTGAAAAAACAGAGCAACAGAATTTGTCACCTCACAGTGGACTCAGTTCTAGGGAGTACTGAGGAAAGGATACTCTGCTGGTGATAATGTGTGCTGGTAAGAATGACAAATTATTCCCAGCTGCTATTTTTTCATTCCAGCACCAAATTTTCACTTAGTTGCAGTTTTACCAGGCAACACTTTTTTTTCTTTTTTTTTTTTTTTTCTGGCTCAGGCTTCATATGACTGATTTCAGAAGAATATATGGCTATGTATATACCCTTCTAATACAGTAACAGGGGAACAACTCTGCTTACTTTCCAAGGGCCATTTACTAATCTTGAATTGAGCTAACCAAGCAGTGCAGCAGGGAGTTTATAAAGATTCTCATAATTCTGCCCAGCACACGATCCAAGCACAGAGCTCTTACTGTATCAGTAAGAATTCGGGACTAAAGAGAAAATATATACTTGCTGAGCTGCTAGTAGGATATGGATTATGTTAATTGCAGATGAATTTTATAGATGGATTTTATTTCAAATTATGGACATTGTCTCGTCTTATTTTGACAATATGTGAACAGTCAGATATGAAACAACCTATACAATGTATCTGATTTTTTAACAAAGGGTGAGACAAGTTTTTTCACAACTGATTAGGACTGTGAAATAGTTTGGTTATGCTATGACATATTTTTCCTATTATTGCCATACTTCAAAAGGGTCAAACCTGATTTTCAAAAACAGAATATTGTTCTCTTTCATCTAAGATAACTTCAGGTCACCCAACAGTGGTAAGGAACTTTGAAAATATTGTATTGATTTTACTGATAAAATTCCCAGCTAAAATTCCCTAATTTGGGACTGCGGTGAAATGAGCATAAAAGTAGACCGAACTTTTCATAGAATTATTGTTATTAACAGTACTAATTGGCAACAGAAGAACATGAGTTATATAAGTTAAAGGGGTGCATCTCTACTAAGAGACAACATAGGAGAAGAATATTTTGCAGGTTTTATTTTGTTCACTTATTCAAGTTTGGTCTTTCATGAAAAATTCTATTGTAAAAGTTAAGTGAGGCTCTGATAGAGAATCCAGAATTGTCCAATTTTTAGATTTTTTTTCCCCAGTTCTTCAGTCCCTTTATACATTTGGAAGAATTTCCACATAAAAGATGTTTCCTTTTTCTTCAGCGGGGCTATTAATGTGTGCAAATTTTAACTTGGTCCAAGTATTCTGTGTGCTGACAGAATGTTAGGAAATCAAGTCTAATGAGTGGTTAGACTGTGTACAAAAAAACCTCTAGAAATCATATAAACCATACTGATTTATAGAAGGCTGTGCTAAAAAGTGTAGGGTTTCCGTCTCTAAGGGATCAGAATATAAGCAGTGAAATGGAGAGGTGATTTTCAACCTTTTTGAATTTGCAGACAATCTAAAAATATTTTTAGTGGAAAGGAATATCCATGTAATATATTTAAGCTTGCAGATAATAAAATCGCTTTTTCAGGGACCACTGACAGGAACCTTAAGGATCCCCAAGGGTTCACAGGCTATAAGTGAGAAATCATTGAAATTAACGATACCAAATTATCTACCCCATTCTAGCTTTGTTTCATATGTTTGCTATAGTGCCTTGCATCTGCCTTATTAATTATCTGGACTTATATTACTATACTCCTTATACATCTAGAAATGCCAAAAAAACATGAAGAAGTAATTTTTTTAAATTTCATTACATCTTGTCTAAAAAGAATCAAAATTTGTGAAGGAAAAAAGAAATAAAAAAGTTATTCAATTCATATACATTTTGTCATTAATTTATAACTAATTTATCAATGACCATGCAGCTGCACTCACTGTATTTTTTTTTAAAAAAACTCATATAATACTCATATAGTCTCTGAAAGCTTAGCATCCTAATAAAGGAAGAGGAAGCCACCAGAGTAATTAGAAAGGTATATTGTACTGCATATAATGGCAGAAGGATGTTTGTATTATAGTCCAACACATCATTAAGGATACAATTGTTATTTAATGTGGCACAATCATCTTTCTACTCTTCATGAAATCCACTTAAGTAATTACTTTTCTTAGCTCATTGGTTCTATGAACTGACAGTTTAGCAAAGTACTATGTCTAAAGAAATACTGAATGTACATTTTTATGATACCCTACCTTTTTAGCTTGACTGTTACTGCTTACCTGGACTGTTACTGTTTATCTGGACTGGCTGTTTTCTCATTTAAAAAACTGGTGAGGAGAGTGGGGAGGAGAGGGGAAAACTGGAATGGGAAGGAGAGAGGGGAAAGAAACACCAAAAGCTTACAGAGCTGTCTTAAAAAATGTAAACATTAAATGAAAAGCTCCATTCCCTTTTTCTCTACAGTGTTTCCCTAGGTTTTGAAACATATATACATAGACATATGCCAAATTAATTATTTGTGCAATGTTTAATCATTTTTTTTTTCTGTTAGCAGCAGAACACCAGCTCAGTAGTGCAGCACCTTGAGTTGCTCCTAATCTGTTTTTAAGAGGAATAGTTTTACAAAGCGCAGTTTTCAAGATTTGGGAGAGCGTTCTCTTATGAAAGTTGATGATGAACATTAGCTAGCATATTATTTTACCTTATAATCTTTTTGCACTTATGACTGCAATAATATATGGGAGAAACATCACCTATATACTCAAAGCTCGTTCGGGTTTTTTTCCTGTCATGCATATTTTAATATAAAGTTCAAGACCATTCTGCAGAGCAAGCCCAGCATTCAGCAGACACTGCTGAAGTGCAACATTCAAATTGCCCAACAGAATGCTTTCTTTCTTTTTTTTTGTATTTTAAACTTAAAGCTCTCTTTCAAAGGATGTTGTAGTCTTCATGTTTGCTAGCATTACAACAAGGTAAGTCTGAAATACCTTTATCTTATTTGGTAGATCTATGTTTGATGCTCTTTGTTTGAATAGAAGTGTCAGCTGTATTTTACCTTATTATATAAAAAAGTTTCAGAATTTAATTAAGGGTCAAGTACCCGCTGTAGATAAATGCAACAGCTAGAGCATATTTCTGATCTCTCTGAAGACTGCAATCATGAAAATTATTATCATTGAGTAAAACTGGTCTCAATGATGGTGACTGTGAGATGGAATCTGTGTTAGTCAGCCATAATTTACATAATAATGGGTTCTGAGTTTTCATCAGCACCTTTTGTTTGTACAGTGCTTACTGCTACAGTAAATTGTCAAAATGTCATTCCTATCCAATCAGCCAGAAAATATCAACAGTAAACAAGGCACAAGAAAAAATTCTCAGATTTAAAGAATGGTGGAGGAAACAGTAAAACAGGACACTGGAATACTTGTAGCACTCCTATTCTGATATTTTTAACACTGCTGAACAACTCATGAAACATTATTTTTTTAATGAAGCAATGTCATTACCTGTTTGTTTCCTCTTCCATATGGCAACCTATTACACTGCTACAGGCAAAACAGATTCAACTAAAAAATTACTACAGTCTAGGTAGCCACAGACCTACAACTACCCAAAAGCAACTTAATCTTGGAAAACACTGAGTTCTAAATGAAAATGCTAGCTCAAATGAATCTATCTTCTCTAACAAGCACTCAAAGCCTGATAATATTTAAGTTGAAAGGAATTCTGTGAAACTTTCTACCGCTCTCTAAAATTCACAGAAGTGCAAGGAGGGGAGGAGCATGAGTTAGTCACAGTGTAGGCTTTATACATAAGCCATCATACTTATATACTATATTAAAATTAAAATTTTCATATTGTGTTTGAAATAAAAATTAATGAAGTGGCACCCTGCCAAAGAGGACCAGAAGCTACCCTTGTGTGGAGCCAAAATACTTGGTTCAAATAGTACTTAATTCATTTTGGTGTAACGACAAGTAGGTAAATGTGTCTTTAAAACAGAGAGGCAGAAACTCTAAAAAATATTTGTTTGTATTGTGGTTCATGAAGTTGACACAGTCATTGCCTGTATATAAACAGAAAACAACCTGATAAACATTCCTCAAGGAGGGCTTCCAGCACTGTGTTCTTAAAAATCTTCAAAAGGATGTGATCACGTAGTTAAGTCACCACAGAAAAGACTCACAGTACCTTCTTTTGGAAACTAATAAGAGTTTTAAAATCTATTGAAATGAAGGTTTGACATAAGCAAATATTTTGTAGAGCTTTCAGGTTTCTTTACCATTCACTTTATTTTACTTGGCTACTTTTAATTTTTTTTTCCACTTCTTCTCTTTGAAAATCCTGCATTGTCCAAGCCCTTTCGATTAAGCAGCTTGCCTGAATGAAAGCACTGTGATGAGGTGGCGGTGCATCAATAAACAGGGTGCCTCTCAAAGCAGGACAGAATGCTGAGAAATAGGACTGATCAGCAGTAATTACTCTGACACTTCATGCAGTACAGGGAATTAACTCCTAGGACTTTGGGCCAAATGGAGAAGTAGTAGTTGATGTTCCACATTGTGAATGCCTCAGTGCCTGAACCCATTATGAGTTTAAATGGAGATGGGAATTCACTATATACAGGGCTTCTTTCTTTCTTTCTTTTTCTTTCTTCCTTCCTTTCTTCCTTCCTTCCTTTCTTTCTTTCTTTTTCTTTCTTCCCTTCTTCCTTCCTTCCTTTCTTTCTTTCTTTCTCTTTCTTTCTTTCTTTCTTTCTTTCCTTCTTTCCTTCTTTCCTTTTTTCTTTCTTTCTTTCTTTCCCCATGCCCCCCCAGTTAGGAATGTGAAGCAGAGAGCAGAAAATACAAATAATTCTGGGTACTGGGCAGGCTGCATTTCTGTGGTTTTTTGTTTGTTTGTTTGGTTGGGTTTTTGTTTGTTTGTTTGTTTTTTGGTGTTTTTT